CTGGCGAGGTTGCGCGGTTAGTCCCCGTCAGGCGGCACATGGACCGACCAGCGATCAGCGTACTAAAGAGAAAGCCCGAAATCTTCGTCACCGGTTTGTTCTTGGCTTCTTCATCGTCTAACTCCTCTGTCAAGCACGCAAAGTCCGTCATCGCTAGAGTCCTCGTTATCCCTAGAACAGAATGATGATCGACCTGCGCCTTGAATGTTTTAGCGTCACCGACGAACGCCCCAGACGTTTCCCCCCCTCCACGCTTCGACCACCAGAGCTCGGGCTCGAACAACGCAAAAGTGAACAAGCCGCGGGATTTCCATCTCTAAAACTTTCCCCAACTCACGCGAGAATGCGTCCACCGTCAACACCTCGTCAGTTGGATCACGGGACAGATCTTGCTCCCCATTCGACGACACCGCCTCGTGCCCCAAGGCCCCAGGTACAGGCACACTTTTCAGGATGATTTTCCTTAAGTAGCGCCCGGTTCATGATGACTAGGGTCAGATCGTCTATTGAGTTACTACTTTTCACTGCTACGATGTCTGCTAAGTCTTAGGGTCCCGACCTTCTACCATGACTCGTTCATGTATTCCTCCTCATTCTGCTGGCTCGATGCTTCGGGCGTCACGGGGGCACTCCACTCATGATGAAGGTGAAGTTTGAAACTTCACCTTTAGAAACTTCAAGTTTGTGCTGTTTGATTATTGACGCTTTGAGGTTTCGACTGGGACCGCATCATGGGATATGCTCCCTGCAAGACATGATGGCTTTGTATGAGCCGAGGCCCGAGTGATCAGAACCACCGTACCCTGTACACATGTGAAGAAAACAAATGCCTCGTTCGCTTGTAACATGCATGGTCCAGGTGGCGCGATGAGACGATCGGTTCCTGCCGCTCAAACAGAAAAAATGCCGAGGCCCCCGCGGCGGCGGCAATGGCTGTGCTTCATTTGTGATCAAGCCGTCCAGCGGCGCGAACGCGTCTCAGTAGCGCGATGGAACCTCGCCGGGCCCCTCAGCACCACAGGAGCGCAGAGACCAACTCAGCTAGGTATCGCTTTCTTGACCAAGTCGACCACGATGACGCCGAAGGATGCGCCGACGCCGCATCGGAGACCAAGACCAGTCGTCGCCCAAGCAGCGGCTTTCTCAGCCCTGCTGACCTGCTGAGCGCTCCGTGGTTCGGGTGGCTGTCCGTCTACGCCTTCACGCTCTTCTGCTTCTCCGCCAGTCGTTGGCTGGCGCTGAGAGAGGTCATCATGATGTACAGCAGCGCCAAGGACTACGTCTTAAGCGTGAAGCTCGCTTCGATGGGCCTTGGTTTCGTGGAGGACTTGGTCTGCACCACCTACTTCGTGTGCGCACTGTGGCTGTTTG